TATTGTCAAGAAAAGCTCCTGGAAAACCACTTCTTCTTGGCGTTGTAGGGAATGTAGGTGCCTGGTGGAATTTAAAAGTATGATCTCTCTGTTTCTGCTGCATCAAATTAGATTTTTATAAATTGTCCATAATGAGTCTGACAGTTTTGTAGGAGTGGATTGCAATCAGTAGAGTACCCTTTACATTGTAAGAACTTCAAAATGCTACACATTGCAGCATGCAATATAAAAAATTCCTAACTTATTTCTTCTGTCCTCTCACAGGATATGTGACGGCGTCCAGTTTGGCGCAGGAATCCGCTTCCTGTGACCTCATCACTCCACTGTCCTCAGTACTCCAGCAGAAGCTGTGACGCGGAAAAGGGAGAACGTGTTGTTGTTTTGTCACCTGTAACTTGTTTTAGAGTGTGTAACACTAGCATGGGTCATGGGTCATGGGTCATATGTCTTGGGGAATCGTGCCTGACCCCCGACCACCCCACCCCCTCCTTTGATATGCGCCAGTTGAGGCTTTGATACAACAAAGTGCCGGTGCTGGGAGAACACAACTAGTGAAACTTTTTACAGTTCAAACTCAGCAGGCTTTCTTACCAATCTGAGAGACGAAAGTAACCAGACATAAGATTTCTTTAGCAGCAACCATAAGACATGACGGCCGCTACAAAAATAGAATGGTATTATATGGTAGATCTTTGCAGCCTCATATCAGCATTTATTCTCTTCGATAGACTTGAATTATGTTTTTGTTTTTAATTTGAGTGCACTTTTTCTTTGGTTTGAAATCTCCAGCGCTGGCACCTTGTCTGTGGAAAAGTCGTCCGCTAGTGATTTCGCCCACTGTGTTTCCTGTGGTGAAACAAAGTTAACTTATTCTCCAGAATGTTAGAGATTTTTTGGCATGTTCCCTGTTTGCCTTCCAGGACTGCTCCTCGTCCAGGAGCACGACTTTTTAAAATCATTTTGTTTTGACACCACAACACACTCTTCTGAACTGACGGGTTTTGTTAAGAGTTGTACTACGTGATTTATTGATTGCAAAGGCAGCCAGAAAACAGCACTTTTTAATCAAAACTGGGGCGTTCGAAGGGGAATCGATCCTCGTGCCAAAGCAGTTTGTTCAGATGTCTGACGTGAAGAATGGCGGGTTGGTCTCTGGGGCCAGACAGCAGAGGTTGGACCCCCCTCCCCCCCCCCAGAGCAACATCCACCACCAGTGCTCTTACCGTTAGTCCTCTTTTTGATGTTGTTGAAGATATTCACAAATAAATCACAGCTGCTCCCGTTTTCGCTTTGGATCCTTTGTGATTTCTCAAATACACATTCAACGATCAAGTGGGAATTTGTTTATTTTATTTGAATACATATAACGTACAACACAGACCACACCGTACTATACATAAGCATACAAATAGCCTCGGGGGCCGCACGTCACGGCCGAACCACCCCCCGACACACCACGAGATCAACATCACAGCCGAAAGGCCAACTCATCAGTCTACCAAATATTCAAACACCCAAAACAGATACCCCAACAAACCCTTAGCACCCCAACAAATGCAAACAAAAATCCTACACTTACAATACCTACAGACACCTGTATACATACACCCAGACAATTAGAAAAATGGAATTAAATGAGAATCTTGTGTAGTGGCAAAGATCTGGTCATACATATCACGATACAGAGGTTACTGTTCAATATATTGCGATACTGTAAGCTAGGCCACATATTGCAATTTTTTAAATCGAATTTTCACCACCATATGCATAAAATTAGTTTTAAATTTTTTTTATTTATGCGACCACTACATTGGGTTCTACAACAAAAAATTGTAATACATAAGTGAGTTGATTATTGAGGCTGTCTTTTTCAGGACTGACCTTGATTAGGTATAGAACATTTTGGACCACATCCCTTGCGTCTGTTACAAAAGTTAAGAATTTTCAGTTGGCGCAGCCTGTGACCTCAGCAAAGCAGTGTAGCAACAGCACAGCCACGGTATAATTTGATTTATGAATAGTTTTACATTATGGGATAAAAGGACATCCAATGAGTGTAATAAATGCAACAGTACTTGCCAGGAAGTTATCAGGTCTACAGGGTACATTCTAACCTGTGTGTGTGTGTGTGTGTGTGTGTCTCTCTCACTGCCCTGCCTCCCTGCAGGATGTGAGCGGACTGTGTGAACCTTTGCTCCACAGGAACCTGTGCAGGGCAGTTGAGTGTGGATGGTGCTTGTTGCGTGTTTGACCAGAGCCGGTTCTGTGTGTGGGAGTCCGGGCAGGTGTAAAGCAGGCGAATGCTGCGAAGAGCTGGAGCCTGCAGGTGTAGTGAAACTGGAATAAAATTACTTAGAAGTTTATCTTTTAACTGAAAAAAAGGTTGGTGCTGCAGGACACCGTGTACATTCTTAAAGATTAGCTTGAGAACTGCAAAATGGAATGATACAGACCAGTGTCAGCAGTTAAAAGTGCTGTGTGGTTAAACATGCTGTGTGCATTATTATATTAAACACATTGCACACATTAAAATCAATGAACACATTTGGAACATGACTGATGGTGTTGATGAAGGTACTTGAGTTCATCTGACAGGACTGCGGGTCTGAAGGGTGGGAACCACTGCTGTGCACAGAAATAATTCATCTTTTTGACATAATAATAATAACAACAATTGTATCCAAAACTAACAGGCTAAGGTCTATTCATATAACTACGCTGTCATTTGTTTTGCTTACTAGGCTACTTTGTTCCGCAGCTGTTAGCAACCATTGGCTATTGTGTTGCAGAGTGAAATATGACATTATGTAGCATCCTCATTTCCCTGAAACCTGTTTGTGGTGCAGAAAGGGGACTGTATCTTTTTAAAAGTTGGCATCTAGTGCCAGCATACTAAAACGTACTTTGTGGTTAAACTTGGTGATTGCCTGATTGATTAATGGTTAAACATGGCCTTTGGGTTTTGGAATAACAGAAACCTAGCCAACAGGCCAACCAGTTAGAGTAGAAACCAGCACTACAATATGTACTGAAATAATATATACGATCATTTATGGTTCAGTTTTTAAAAAGAAAGAAAGATACCAAATCACCAAAATATCTAAAATCACAGTTCGACTCATATTAGGCTTAGTGAAACTTATTTTTAATGTTTTAACGTAATTCAGTCGCTTTGTTAGCTATTCCACCGTAGCATCGCGTTAAAAATGCTATTAAACTAAAGCTACGGTCAGTGAACAGCTTGATACAGTTTATGAATTCCCACGCGGGACCGCGCGGTCGAGGATGTAGTAAGCACCGCGGGACCGCGCACGCACACTGCCAAGCAGCACGTCCTCTGTGTGCCGCTGTCGGTATAAGCTGGCTGTGGTGAGCATATACCACGGCCACTCCTCTGACTCACACGCTCACACACATAGAGACAGGTGTGTGTGGCCAGCAGCACATACCTCAGCAGCAGGTCGGACAGATTGTAAAATATTTGGATTTATTTTTATTTTTAATACATTTTTTTATAAACAAAACACCGCCATTATGTTGTGGACTGCGAGTCAAGTCTTAAGGAAATTCTCCACCTCGTCCGTGAGTAAAGGTTGCTTTGCTGCTTTTGCTGCACCACACAATGAATAGAGCCTTTGATACTTGTGTTGCATTGATGGAAAAATATCAGAATAGTAAATACTGAACGTGTGCCAGGTCGTGGTGACATGAAGAGCACTGAGCCAGACTCGGATCTGATTGCGGATCAGTGAGTCATAGTTCATGTCCAGGTCTTCACAAGTCTGCTGCTGTATTTAACAAACAGAGCAAACGATGGTGAATGACAGTGTGAGTGCCAGTTTGCCACGTTACTGCCGCTGTCCTCTGTCTCCCCCTGTCTCCCCCTGCCTGTATGCTCTCACTGGACTGGCCTTACTGTACAAGATCTGGAGGAGTTGCATCAGCCTGTGAGCTCCACTGTACACCGACAGCGGCTTAGTTCCGATCCTGCAGGGCTGCAGGCAGCCCAGAGGAAACCTACATATGGGCGGTCTGCTCATTCATCATTACTGGGGCCGGTTTGCAACCAACTTCACTGTCATTCCCCATGGTGTTTGGAGCGACCTTACTGTGGTTGTGTGGAATGAATGTCTTTGAATGCATCATGAAGCACGTTGCAGAAAGCACTGTGACAGCCAGCGACGGTGCCTCATGCACTAGCATTCATGTGAGCATGGGAAACCTGAAACCTCCTTCCTGCACACATGTGCTGCTGCAGTCACAGACCGCTCACTATGGATGAGGGCTGTACTCTCTGGCAGCCAGTAGCTTTTCTCAGAGCTGGTTGGCTAACTACTGGGTCAGGGGCACACTTGGTGATTGGGGGCCCTGGGAAAGGCGAGCAAGGGCCCCCCTGATTTACACCCCCAGCTCTTTTCAGTGCTTTTTATACGCTCATACATTTTATACATTTGTCTATGGAAAAAAATACTATAAAATGTTTCACTTAATGCTAAAACAGTTCAATCAGTTAGTTAATAATAATAAAACTAATAATAATAATAAGAAGAAGAAGAAAAAGAATGAGTTAGTTGTTAGGTTGGATATCAAGCTTTTGTTGTTTGCAGTTTGTTAGATGTGAGGATTGGCTGCTTTTCTCTGATTTCAGTCTGTAAATGACATAAAAAGGTAATAACTTTGGGTTTATAACTGTTGGTCAGATAAAACAATCTAAAGGTGTGAAAAAATGACTTACTAATGAGTAATGACAATAATGTTTGAAGCCCCAGTAAGCAAACTGGGCCAGCGCTGATATTGTTTGCTTAGCGGAGGTTTGACACAACTGAATAAATATATAATATTTTGTATGTATTTAAAGGGCACTTAAGTGATGTTATATGTCAGAGTCAGTGTACTAGTCAAGGGAACACTACTCAGCCAGTGAAAACTATTCAAATTTCAGTAAAAAAAAAAAAATATTATTAATCAATTGTACTGTATATAATCTGTACATCATTTTTGTACTAACTGACTAAATGACCTTGTGTTCTTGTATAACCCTGATGATGTCATTGTGAGGTCATCAGGGTTTTATTCACAAGGTCCTGGACACAACAAATGTTTAACAGAAAGCTTAAATTACAAAACGGTTTTGGAGTCCCCTCTGGATCCTGGTCCAACAGGTGCCCATTAAGAACCCCTCTACATTGGGTTTACCACTTTGCATAACATCTGTGGAACTAACATTGAGTGTGTGTGTTTGCTCTTGTTACAGCATTATTACCAGAACAAACTCAAGCTAGCTATAATCGGCCAGAGCCTGTTCGGACAGGAGGTGTACAGCAACCTGAGGAAGCAGGGTCACAAGGTGGTGGGCGTGTTCACAGTCCCTGACAAGGATGGCAAGGCTGACCCCCTGGGTGAGTTCATTCCCTTCTCTCCTCCCTTTTCTATCTCCCCCTCTGATTGGTTTACCACCAGATAGTGTGCAAATCCCTGTCTTCCTGCTGCTCCGTTGAGCTCTTATTGCTGATGGCTTACTGTGTGCTTATAGATTCACACAAATCACTGTGAATGTTTACTTCTTCAGTTTGGTTCTCTCTCTTAGAAAACTGTGGTGCTTTTGGATTTGACACACAATTCAAACCAGCTAAAGGAAACAACATAAAAATACCAGGTTTTATGAGTGTAAAGAGATAAATGTTGGCATCTCAGAACAGTTCGTCATGCTTGGAAAACAGAGCAGAACAAACGTCAGTCTGGACTCACGCACAGCCACTTCTTGAAGTCCATCCTGCAGACCCTGCAGAATGAGAAGCTTAACATAAAGTTCCGTAAATATTAATTAAGGCGGCCTCTGATGTCCCGGGTCTTGTCCGGTCATCAGAGGCCTGCGCGGTGGCTGAGGTAGATGCGTGTTGACTCTACAGTGCTCCTGCACAAAGACAGGCCTTTATCCTGCGTTAGCTGCGGGATAGTGGCTCCATTGTCTGCCTCCCATTGTCCGGCAGAGAGGCCCTGTGTGGCCCGGAGATGCAGCTCTGAGGTGAAAAGTCTGATGTGTGTGATGATGCAATCTTTCCAGGAAGCATCAACATCATCATCATCGACTACCAGCTGACTCTTGACCTCCGCCTGCCATACTCCTTTCCTCTGTTTGCACAATTTCCTCTTGTTATTAGTCATAAACATATTTGTGCTGTGCCATTTGAGTTTAGATTTGTTTAGCTCCTCAGCAAGTGGAGCGGTGTCGATATGGGAAAGATGCTGTGAGAGTTCAAATTAAAAAAACACATTTTTGTTCTGAGCAGACTATTTGTATACATATCTTAATTCATGTCTGGAGGACATCCTTAAACTGTCTATAGGCTGCAGTTATTGCTGCAACTAAAAAAGACTAAAGTGAGATCAGATCTGTATCAGTAAGCTCTCCTCTTCTCTTTTAGCGGTGGCGGCGGAGAAGGACGGGACGCCTGTGTTCAAGTTCCCACGGTGGCGGGTCAAGGGGAAGCCCATCCCGGAGGTGGTGGACGCCTACAAGGCGGTGGGCGCCGAGCTCAACGTCATGCCTTTCTGCTCCCAGTTCATCCCCATGAACATCATCGACCAGCCCAAGCACGGCTCCATCATCTACCACCCCTCCATCCTGCCGCTGCACAGAGGAGCCTCTGCCATCAACTGGTGAGGAGGAGTAATCGCACACACTCTTTTTCAATGCATCTTGGGTTGGTGTGGTGTCCTCGGTAAAATACCTTTGGTACTAGAATGATGTCAGACTGGATCTTCCGACATCATACATTTGGGGAGCAGAGGGAAAATTCTATTTACTACATGACAATACAACACATGCCTTTCTAGCTGAAAAGAAAGGTTGAGCTACACACATGCAACATCCTCACTGACAGAAAAAAAAGAATAATATCAGTCCGCGTATCACTTTTTACATGGGTCATATGACCTCAAGTATCCAAAACTGTGTACAGGAACAGAACATGAAGTATACAGTGTGTTTCACTCTACAATGGGAAATAATGACAAAATGTTAAGAAAATGGTCAAAATTGAAGCAGCAGAAACTTAAGTTTTCAGTCTTAAGTATGGGTCAAAGTTAAAAAATGCTGGTCTGGATCCTACATTTCCCATAATGCAACTCAAAAGCATTATTTTTTACAAACTAGTAAACTTTTTTACATTTGTTTTACTTGAATTTTATGCATATGGTTGCATGTTTTTTATACTATGACAAGTTTCACAGTATATCACCTTGCTTACTGTATCG